TAGTTTTCAATGATATGTACCCAGATGTCGCCCCTGTTCAATCATACAAAGATGATTGTGCAGCTTTTGCACTGGAAAAGTTTTCGTTGAATGTCGAAGATAATTTCAGAAAATGGGAGGACATTTCTCGTAAATCATCATAAATCAGAGACACGTTTATTCATGGATAGCATTTCTTGTGTTTCTAAGATTAACTTCAAAGAAATAAATAAGCTTTTACAATAACCATCTTTTTCCTTATTCTCATATCCCAAACAAATCATCATTATCCATTAATCAAATTTGTTTTTCCTTGATGAAAACAAGCATGACATCACACTCTCATGATATCCCATATAGAATTGCACAAGTAATAAGTTCCATCTATGCTGGAATGGTCTTCTGAAATACAGTATATACAGGACATGCCATCCTATTTACAAAAAATTGTTTGTGGCACTGCTGCATGTGTGTTATGAAATACAGTATCTTGACTTGTGTGAATTTGATTACGGCAGTATTGAAAGGGAATCATACCACAAAAACAAAATCAGTCATTTCTTTTGGAAGTTTGTTACTAAAGTCCTACGCAAACCCTCTGTTGAATTTGTGTTATATTTTTAAATCTCTTTTCCTAGCATTTTTGTTAACTTCACCAACTGTAAAGTCTTTTTGAAAACTTTGCTGCAAAATATATGCTTTGGATTTGTCGCCAAACTGAAGTTCCCATTCATCAGCATGAACTTTGTTAAAAAATTATTCCAAAGTTCTACCAAATTGTGAGCATCATTTACCATTATATTTTATAAACAAAAAGGACAAATTTATATCCAAAAAAGATCTGAAAATGCGTGGGTTTGCGCAGACTCGGGGCAACCTATGAAATATTGCAGAATATAATTGAATTAAAAAATGAAATATTACTATACTGATACTCATATATTTTATAGGATTGCTTTTTGACAATTTCTGGCCTTGCTTGATGAGGCATCACATTATTCCAGGGCTCTGAAAAACATAATGCTTCCAGGGGTCACAATTTGATATACTTTATACATCAATTTGTCTTGGCGCATTTATTCGAGTAAATAATCAGAAAAAGCATGACGTGTTGTATGCAGGTATTTGCCTTCTTGACTTCCAGCATGTAGTCCAAGAAGAATTTGAAAACAAGAGGTGTTTTCTGAAATAAATAAAAAATCGTCCGAGTCACGATTTTTCATGAATTTTGAATTTGTAAAATGCATCCAATGCCCTTTTCATTCATGAATCAGTCAACAGCAACCGGAAGAAATATTGCTTCACCTGTAGGGAGCAAAAAGCTCTCCACAAAATTTCCAAAACTCATCCAAATGAGATCCAGCTGGAGCAACCATTTTTTTTTCTCAAAACTTGTCTGCAGTCATCCAAAATTGGCAGACAAGTTTGGAGAACTTGTCCACCACTTTCTGGCGCCAGCGTCTATGGCAGAAAAGTTCTCCAAACTTATCTGTCAGACTTCACTTTATCAGCTAAATATAGACATTTTAGAGGAACATAAATTCATGAAGTGGTCTTCAGCTGAGTGGCTAAGCAATTGTGCTCTAACTCATAAGGTGACAAGTTCAATCCCAGGGTATAAAAGCCATCTGTACTTGGTATGAGCACTGGAATGGCCCAGGCCCAATTAGAGCAGGTGAATGGGTTGGTATAGGGATACTTTGAATAACGGGATAGGATAAGTTGAGAGAATGAATAGGCGCAAAAATCAACTTGAGTATATGCATTAATAGGTATGTGAAGTAATTAATGTGAATATAACTAAATAATAGAATTAAAATGTTCATTAGCAATAATAAAACAGATGTGAATGAAATACAGTGAGACCCTCTGATGCGGACGTAATTGGTGCATCAAGAGTGTCCTTAAGTTGAAATGTCCCTAAGTTGAGTCTTGTTTTCCATTAGACTTACATTATGTAATTTTTAATTGGTGTTTTATGTACAAAATACTCTCCATAATTCCATGAAAATAATTGTATCCCAATTTAAATTGATTCCAATCAATATATTTCAACACAATATCGACATAGTTTAAATTGATTCCAATCAATATATTTCAACACAATATTGACATTACAGGAATTGAATTCTGATACCTTGTAGAGTAGATAGAAATGTTGGCATCCTCTGTAAAAATAATATTCAAGTAAAAAAGAAAGAATGAAGTCCCTCTCTGTGAGAGTTATTTTTTTAATTAGCTAAATGGTTGGTAAATTGTTGAGAGAAATACCCAAGAACTTTTCTCACATACATTTGAGGGTTGGAAATATCTGTTTCTTGTAATTTGTCCTGAAATGTATTTGCAATTTTATAACAAAATGTCCCTATCTTGAGTCAGTGTCCTCATGTTGGGCACTTTTCATTAGTTTTTAAGAGAAAATAAGTGTCCCTATGTTGAATTGTCCGCAGGTTGAGGTGTCTGCATGTGGGGGTCTCACTGTATATTCAATAATGGAGTATGAAGAAAGTGTATCAGAATAACATCCAGAAGGAACAACATGGAGCAAGTTTGTTTCATCAAATTGGGGCCAAAATTTAAAAACAAGTTTTGGAAGGAACTAAGACAACTTTTGAATAAAAATCAGACAACTTGTCCATTTTTTATCCAAAAGTTGTCTCAGTCCCCTCCAAAACTTGTCTCTTTTTGATCCAAAAGTCATCCAAAAAGAATTTCATTTTTGATGACTTTTGGATAAAAATTGGACAAGTGTCCAATTTTGGTCCAAAGTTATCCAACCCAACTTGTATGAGTGTATTTCAAGTTTTTATCCAAAAGTTGTCTTAGTTCCCTTTGAAACTTGTCTGTTTTTGATCAAAAAGTCATCCAAAAGCAGTTGTCTTTTGAATTACTTTTGCAGCTGTCTTTTGGATTACTTTTGGATAAAAATTGGACAAGTTGTCCAAATGTTGGTCCAAAGTTATCCAGATTTTGGTTCAAAGTTATCCAAGCCAACTTGTCCAAATGTTGTCCAATTTTGGCAAGAATCTAGGATAAGTTGGTTTGGATAACTTTAGGACAAAAAATGGACATTTTTGTGCTCACTGCTGGGTGCATATGGGAATCTGTCACAGAAACACAATAAAATCTGGTGTTGACTTCAGCGAGACTGTAAAAGTCAAAAATATGTTTTCAAATTTTTAGGAAAAGATTGGAAGATGGTCGTTGAGAAGGAATGAAAGCTCGTCAACAAGTTTTGGTGACGAAGCTTCTACACGCGTCACTTCGCAGGAAATAAAATATGTCTGTCGACCTTTTTTCCCCGTTTTCATTCATTTTGGAAGTGTTTTCTCCTGACTGTTTGATGGTTCGAAATAGGAACAAAAGTCTAATCCAGAACGTTTTCAAATGCTATACCAATAGCAGAGTGCAACATGACAAAGTGAAATCAAAACAGGTCAAAGAGCTCGGAATTATTGATTCCACATTTCGCTTCTTGAAACAACATCAGAATTTGCAGTGTCATGGATTGCGCAGAATATTTTCTATAAAAATGAACAGGAATAAACTGATTCATCACTTTATCCTTTAGGTCTTCTTCAGCAGATCCTCGCTTCTCTCAAGTGACATCAGAGCGAATTAGGTTGAAAAATATTTCTGAAATATTGTATATGTTCACGCCAAGAAAGAGGATTTCCATTAGAGGAAAAAATATTTTGAGCCGGGTTCCCCTGTCGTGAAATTGATTTGAAAGTATGCAACTCGTCATAATATTCGCGAACTTATTTTTATCAATGCTAAATGTGCTAATAATTAGCGAACGATTATGCGAAAGAAAAGGGATAAAATCTCGAAATATATTCTTTGGAAATCGACGAAAATTTTTTTTTTCACGAGGCATCTATTTAAAAAAAAATGCTTCTAAATGAAATATTGTGTGCTGTGTGTTTTTCACTGCTGTGAACTGTGGCAAACTTTTCCCCTATATTATCATATTAAATATTTTTCTTATCATCAATCACGAAATAAACTGGAACCGTGCCAAACTCCCGCGTTATTTAAAAAATAATAATAATCTCAACTTCTTGGGAGTCGTTGAAATACATTGAATAAACAGGAAAAATTGTATTCCGTCGCGGTGGTGCATGTTTAATGAGAAGAGCCTTCTTTATAGTTTTTGAAAGCTTTAATTATTAGTTTTTGAAAAGGGTTATGCACACAAGAGAGAATCTCATATGCGTGGGAAAGTGCTTCTCGCTAGCAATCATTTTTTCCCACTATTTCTCAGACGCAGAAGTGACAGTTGTGCATTTCATTCCAGTGCTTCACAATAATATTGCTTAACACATATATTTTTTTCATATTTATGCGATAAAATAGTGGGTGAGATTCTATTTTACTTTTGTTCATTGCAAAAAAAGTGCATCTCAGTGTTGCGTATAATAATTTACAAAATCGAATAAATGAACAGTTCGTGTTTACGAGGTGCTTTCCGAAATATGCGGCTGTTAAAAAATTCAACATCTCATCTGAAATGTTTTCCGAAATGGTAAAATTTTGAAAAGTATTAGCAGCATACATATTTGAAAGCATGATATGCACTGGAAGCAAAAAAATTAAAATTTCACAGTGAATAATTGGCACCAAACAATAACTCGTAACCTTCGAATTGCTGGTGTATAATTTTTTTTTGAAAAGAGAACATGTTATGGTCGTAACAAAGAAAGTAATTGCCACTAAAAATAATTCACAAAATCTAAAATTGAAGCACACCATAATTCGCCAATCGAAATCTATATTTCATTTTTAAAAGCGAATAAGAAATTTAATTGGAAATTTCAAGCATTTGTTTCGTGCCACCAAGTAAATTGAAACTTTTTTTTTGTGAATTTCAAATGCAAATCACGGGGCGTCCGAAGTTCAATTATTCATTTTTCGTCTCCATCCAGGAAAGAAAATGAAGGTTCATTATGCAATAAATTAAATTTTAATTACATTCACGTAGCGAGGATAATATAAACACGATGATGCCTCGACATGATAATTCTCTTCATGATTCAGGAATTACATCAATAAATCATCCCTTTAAATCGTCATCATCGGACGGACGTCAGAGTGACACCTTCCTTTTTTTTGTTTTTGGCAATTGTTCGTAGAACTGTGATTGCTCTCGTCACTTGCTGCTGATCAATCAATTTTGCAGTGATAAAAAAGAAACACACGAATCCAGTGGCATCATCACACAATATATATACTGCTGAAGAAATCGTCGACGCTATATACTGTAACAATGGTGGAAAAGAAAGCCGACGCGGCGGCGATGGTCCAGCCGCCACTGGGGTTCGCGGCCGACGCCCACGTGTCGTCCTTTGCCCAATACCTGGACGTTCACGCGGCGTCCGTCCGCGGCGCCGGCGGCGCAGACTTTTGGCGCCCCGAAGCCGAGAGGATCGGGATTGAGTCCCTGCCCGGGCCAGGCGCCGCATTTGCAGAGTGGAACTTCAACTGCGACCAGGGCCCAGTGTTTGCTCGCTGGATGCCTGGGGCCAGGGCCAATGCTGCTGTGTCCTGTCTCGACAGACACGTGCAGAGGGGAATGGGCAACAAGGTCGCCTATTTTTGGTGAGCTCATCAGTTATTATTATTATTGGCGGATTTTTAAAAGTGCTTTTTTTTTTTAAATTGACTATACAGTTGTCGCGTCCCGAAGCGACGCAGCTCCAGCATCCGGTTGCAACCGGACCCAGAAAACTTGTTACATTTCCGAGGCCAGTGAGCCTCGCAAAAATCCTGTTTTTGCAAGACTCACTGAGCCTCGCTCAAGGACAAACAGTGGTTATCACTTCTTCCATTTTGTCTGAATTGGCCAATCCTGACCCAGTCCAAGCACCTGGGTATAAAAACCCACATTCCTCTTTGAGAGAAAAAAAGTCAGAACCTAGTGTTAAAGGGCCTTTTAACTTTAAATTACCTGATTCAATATTCTGAGCTAACCATTGACTCTGCCATTAAACCAACTAATTCAACAGGCAATTGATGAACTGGGCAATGAGAATGAACTCCTTTGAAAAGAGTTTGAGTTCTTATTCAAAACTTGTGTCTTGATGACTGCACAATTCAGTTCCTTTGTCTGGGATCCAATGTACCCATGACAACAGTGAGACCCCCAAAAAAGGACACCTCAACATGGGAATAATTCAACCTAGGGAAATTTATGCTTGAATAAAAAAAAATCATAAAAATGGCCCGACATATGGACACTGACTTGACATGAGGACATTGCATGATGGAATTACCAATAAATTTTAGGAAAATTGGCTTTTATTAGGCTCAATTGCAAGAAACAGATATTTCCAACTCTAAGATCCATGCAAGAAAAATTCTTTGGTGCTTTTCCCAACACTTTCCCATCCATTCAGCTGATTCAAAAAAATTATTTGTAGTACAGAGGGACTTCATTCTCTCTTTGTGACTTGTATGTTATTTTTACAGATGCCAAAATTTCAATGAACTGTACAGTGGTATACTATTCAATGCTCCAAAATTTTTTTTATTGGCTTGAAGAGATATTCACTGAATCAAATTCAAGTGGAAACAGTTTTTTTCATGAAATTCTGGAGATTATTTCTTCCATAAAACACCAAGTGAAAATTATGTATAATGTAAGTCTATGGGAAAACAAGACTCAACTTGGGGCAACTCTTGATGCACCAATTATGTCTGCATCTGGGGGTCTCACTGTACTTGCATTTCATCAGTCAAGTGTTATGAATGAAAAATTCAAAATTTGACTGTAGATGTTAGATCTAATCAGCCTTTGGACAACGGGGTATTCTTTTCCGTTGTATAAGTGCAGTGTTGTCAGGATATTTATTGGGGATAGATGTCACCTCAATATAAATTAGTGTTAAGCTGGATCAGAAGAGTAAACCGCTATATAAAAGACAGTAATGAGCCTGAGACAGGGGCTGGAATTCCTTCTTGGAATTCCTGGGTTAAGAGTAAGGTATATTTCACAAGGAATAATCAAATACTCAGCAAACTCTTGCTTCAACTGAATCATCATCATTGGAATAATTCTGATGATGATATTCTTCTCTGAACTTGACCAGGTTGACAATTACTATTCAAACTTCACAAGGTTTTATGATCCCTTCATGAGGTTTATCATTTGATTTTAAGTTAGAGGATAAAACTCAAAAAAATTTTAATGAGAATTTATCAGTGATGGCGTGCTTGCCTAATAATATTTTTGGTATCATGCAGGTGCATTTTGGTTGGACTGAAGGTCACCAAAATGAAACCTGAGCTAGGTGGTCAAAGTATGGCAAGTGCCATAATTCAGGCACTTCTACATTTCCAAAAGCCAGGATTAATTTTCACAAGCCCTCCAACAATCCTTCTGCAGATGAAAACTATGGAAATTGGGTATATGCTCCAATAAAGGCCTGGTCTCCAATACACTCCAGTCTTTAATAAATGCCAGGGGGTTCATGGAATTAGTAGCCAGCTTTTAATAGTGGCAAGGTCAAAGAAAGGGAAAGGAGGAGGGAGGGGATAAAGCATTCCAAGAAGTTTGTTAATTGTGTACATTAAAATCTTGTTACAACAAATACCATTACCACACATTTTTCAGTATAAGAAACTTTTTTACAAGTCCCAGCAGAATACATGTTATGAAAATATCATTACAACACACTTTCCAATTCAAGAATAAAAATATTTTTCAAGGGACATATGTGATTTTCCTTATGAAGAATCCTTGATGAAGATGGGCGGGCTCAGTCTCACCTTTCCAGGTCAAAATGTAACTGTCACTATTTTTGGGGACATAAGTGGAAGGGCAAATCGCAGACACACATGTTCAAAAATCCACCTGAATACCCCTCTCTTTCAAAATTTTTTTTCAAAGGTCAAGAATAATGGAGAGGGGTGGGGGAGGTTTCAGGAAAAAAATGAACCCAAAAACTTGATGTTAAAAGGGGTTTGGATGCTTGTGAAACCCTTCTGATGCTTATAAACTAAGCTTTTTTGGAACATCTCTCATGAATTTGTGCAGAAATTGCATAGAAAAACTTGGATTTGTAAAAAATCTTAGGGTTCACTTGTTATTTGAAGTAAAATTTTTATTGCCATTTGAATTTATTTTTGAAGATCAGTTTTTGAAAGATGGAAAAGCATCTGAAAATGCCACAAAAGGAAGATCTTGAATACTTGCACATTTCATTTAAAAAATCTTCCCAGCAATAAATATTTTTGAAAACCTTGTTGGAACAAAATATTTGTTACAACAAACTTTTTCTGAGGTCCCTATGATAAGTTTTTTGTAACAGAATTTTACTGCCCCAACAATCCTTTCCACAATCTAGTCTTAAGCACTCAACAATCAAACCCTTTTCTTTTAGATTTTTAATGCATTCCTGCATTATTTCCAAAAATCAGCAAGAAATCATAGTTTTTTCTTACTATCACCTAATTCGCCCCATTTTTTTCATATTTTCCACACTTGGAAATAATTGCCTGTATCACAGGCCTGGGGGAAAACTGAAAATGTTGAATAAATGCCAAGGCGTTTAGTGAGCATATATGGTAAATGAATAATTTTTAAAATGTCCTTAAATTGTTTTTAGAGAATGTCTCTGCTCGTGAGAATTGCTGAAAAGCCCCTGGCTTCAAAATTCAAAATATGTTGCAGTTAGCATATTTTTCCTGGGCAGATTAGTAATAAGAATTCAGAGGGTTTTCCATGCCATGAAGAATTTAAAAGAAGGTTGGAGATTTCCCAAAGCCCCAAAACATATAGGTTAACTCCCAATTTTTCAATGGATTCAAGGGCTGAAAGCTTCAATTCTTTCACTTTCCCTTCTCCTATTTACTCTTTTGAAAGGGAATTGGGAGAACATCAGCCCAGCAGAAGGAAAGAGAAAAAGTTTTGGTGGGCTTTTTTTTTGGCAAAAATGTTGCCTGACCTGCAGAAAAAAAATGCCAGGATTTATCCCAGCTCCAACTTTATCCTCCTGCACCCAACCATAATATTTTTTCTTGCACAGACAGCAATTAAACCCCTAAAAAATTAATTTAAAATCTATAACTGAATGAATTAAGCACAGATAAATGAATGCACTGCCTCTCAAGGGTTAATGGACTGATGCATCTGCAACTTTATAGATGCAGGACACTTGTGGTACTACCTTGCAATTTGACCACCCTGCAATCTGCCCATCCTGCAATTTGGTGGTCAAATTTGCTGAGGGGCTGACTTGAAATTTAACCTCTAGTCCACAATTTGACCCACAAAGAGATGCAAAATGTAAAATATAATTCAGAAAACATCCCCATTTGCTGTTTTCTGGAAATGTGACTGCTTCAAAATATAATTGACTGTAGTCCAGCAACCAATTAGGATTGAATTGTGGGTCACCACCTGTATTACACAGTAGTGGGGCCCCAACATGCCAATGATTTGACTTTGGGACACTTCAAGCTAAAGATAACTTGGTCCCAACATCTAGATCTATATAAAATGTCTTATTGACATACAGAGACTTCATGACATTTCCAGCAAATGAAAAAGTGTAAACTTTTGTTGGGTGCCCAGTAATTGCCATGAGCGGTGATGCTTGTCATCCTTTAAAAATGATGGCAATTCATTATTCATGAATTTTTTACATATAGTACTGTGATGTATTCTCTTTTGTGAGTAGTCTGAGTACATTGGTTAAGAGGTTAGTTACGAGCCCCTTCTAGCCCTCAGATGGCAGAGGGTTCCTTTCCATTGCAGGGCAAAGTCAGGATTTTCTTGGGTGGTCTTGAGTTTAATTTTTCTTGAAGGCCACACAGAAGCCAGGCCAGGTCACCTAGGTCAAAGTTGGACTTTGTCCAAAAAAAAAGGTGCTGCTAATAATTCCCAAAGTCAAACTTTTTCTGCTAATTCTTGTCTGCCTCTAAATAAGAATCCTCCATCTGGCGCCCAGAATGAAAGGGTTGCAAATCTGAGAAGAATGCAACTAATCCGGAGAGAGGCTAAAAGAAGGCTCAGCCTTGGTGATGCATTTTTTATTTTTGGGCAAAATTTTTCTGTGGATTTTAAAATATACACCAGGATTTTGCCCAGGGTGAACTGTTAATAATTTTTTTTAAACCTGTCCTCACAGACACAAAATTTTGTGAAAAAAGTCCAACTTATTTGCTGCCCAAGGGCGAGTTGCTTTTGCTCCATCCAGCTTTGACAGCTGTGACAACTATTTATTCCAAAAGTTTTCTTTTCTTTCCCTCAGAAATATTTACTGATTATGGTGTACATTAAATTCTCCGTTTTTGCAGCATGTTGAAGTATTTTTTGCCAGTTTGCCACAAAATTGCAGTCTAAAATGGAGTTAAATCATGAATTTTGATACATTACATTTTTTGTTGCAATGAATTTTTGTCAGGTCCTTGGGAGTTTGTTGTAGTGAAATTTTACTGTATATCTATTGATGAACTGTAGTAAAGGAACAAATGTTTTATCATTGTGAGAGTCCAATACTGATTCAAGCACATTGTCTAGAAGCCACTGTTTACTGCTTTCTTTTATAAAGTACTGTACTAATACTGTACCATGTACGCAAATTGGAATTGAATTTCTTCAACTTTTTGCAGCACTTTGTTCTCTATTTCTCTCATTCCTTCACGAATTTTCCATATTCAATAAAGGGAGGGCAATGAGCCTGAGGACAGCAGTCAGCTGACTTATGGTGAGCTGCTGGAACAGGTGTGCAAGTGCTCCAATGTGCTGCTGCGACACGGGGTGCGCAAGGGAGACTGTGTCGCCATCTACATGCCAATGGTGCCGGAGATTGTCGTTGCCATGTTGGCCTGTGCCCGCATCGGCGCGCTTCACACTGTCGTTGTCAGTTTGTTTTCCTATTCCTCCAATTTACATTGACCTTCTTAAGAAAATGTCTATAAGCTGGTTTGAGATGTAAATCCTTGGAAGACTCCATAACTGAACCAAATTCTGTAATTTATGCGCATGACATTGTTGAGAGTTTGGATATGGTGAAACTTTTATACTTTTATCAAGAAAACTATGATACTGCATTTACGGTATTTACTCAAGTACCATGCACCCTTGAGTAAGCCACGCACAGGAATTTTTCAGTTCAAAATTTGGCTAAAATTGTATCCCTGAGTAAGACGTGTACCCCATTTTTAGGGACTCTAAAACCACAAAATTTCGAAAATAAAAACAAATTTTTTTACTTCCAATGGGAATTGAACATGAATCTGATCAATTTTATAATTTTTCAGTAAAAAAAAGTTTTCTTGGTACATTTGTCACAAATTTCTCCATTATAATCAAGTATAATTAACACACAACTTCCTAAAACTTCTTAAAAATTCTGTACCCGCTTATGACGCGCACCCCTTTTTTTCTTCTGAAACTTGAGAAAAAAGGTGCGTGTGGTACTCAAGTAAACACGGTACTTGTGCCCTTAATTCAGGAAGATGCACACTCAGGTATCACTTTGAAATTTTGATTAAATTATATCCTTGAGCTGCAGGGCTTGTGTTCCATTTTAGCAGCACTAAAACTGCAATGCAGTATTTAAAAAAAAAAATCCAAATTTGAACTTAGACATGCATTGAACCAGAATTCATTAGTTTTCCTTTGTTTCCATAGAAAAGAATTCCTTCTGACAACATTAGTCGAAACTGTCCTTCTTAGAATCAAGTACAATGCACACCTAAACTTCAAAAACTTTTTTTAGTGTATGCCCTCAATGATGCACACCCCCATTTTTTCTCTAAACTTTGAGAAAAAAGTGAAAGAGGTAAGCTGATGTAAAACAGTATATGCATTAGTAATACATCTGAAGCAGGCAGTCCAATTCTTTTGATGAATACTATAGGAATTAATTTTTGGAAATACACATTTTCCTATATGACAACATATATACAGTGAATAGATTATTTTTTTCTTATTCTGTACATAGTGTATATTATGTTTAGTTTACTTAAAATGTAAAAAAAAAATATATATGCACAGTATCTGCAATATTATTAAATCTATGTACACCATGTCCATGTCCCTCCTACTTTTCATGAAAAATGCATGAAAATGTAATTTAAAGAAAAATAAATCATATACAGTTGTTACCTTGCAATTCAACCCTCATCCATTTCAAAACTAGGGAAAGCTTTCAAAGCAGTCATATTGCAAGACACAGCTTCCTTATTAAAAATATCAGTACAAAAACACCCAAAAAATTGGCTAAAGCAGGCCAAGTTACAGGGCAAGGGTCAAATTGCAAGTTAACCTCCCCACAAATTCAACCCTTGAATTGAGGGACAGTCAAATTGCGTGAGGTCAAAGAACAAGGTACCACTTGTATACTCATATGCAAATTATTCCTACATGTTCTAGTCTTTAATAATGGATGCTGAATAATTTAATCATATTTGCTGCATTTTCATTGATCTCCCATTCTGCTTTGGAAACTCAGTTTGCAGGGTTCTCTGCGGGTTCCTTGAGTGACAGGATCATTGACAGCAAGTCAAAAGTTGTCATTACTGCAGATGGGGTCTTTCGAGGAAAGAAGCTCATTCCACTCAAGTCTATTTGCAACGAAGGTGAGGATTCATCGATGTTAAGAACATATTTTTCCATATTTACATAGACTTAGTAATGCAGTATTTCCATTTTGTGAGAAGCTTATTTTTAATAGATTGTTGTATGAGGTGTACTTTGTGTGTTGGACAAATTTATCTCACATGTAACTGTACTGCTAAACTTCATGGTATTCTAGCTGAAATATTAATGATTAAAAATATTTGTGAGTAAGTTTACCATTTATAGTTGATACATTTTTGTACCAATGGGTTTTATTTCATCAAGATTTTAACCAAATACACTTGGACCTCAATAACTCAAACCTCCCCAAGTCAAATTCCTTCTTTAATTCAAATTTTTTTCAAGTCATGGTCTGAATCCATTTATAGGAATAATGCATTAAAAACCTCCCTGATGCAAATGTTTCTCCTTTCAAGCCTCTATAAGTGGAAGTTTCTTAAGCCTCTTGGCTTTTTTCTCATTGACACACACAAGAGAAAAGCAATAAAAATCCAGTTTGAGATGCTTTGAAAAGAAGTGAAGGACTAAATTGGGCAAATGAACTCCTGCCTCCAAGTTCAGCTTCATCTTGTAGGCACATTTAAAGAAGTTTGAAGCCCAGAATATCATCAGCTACAATTTCTATGCAATTTTCCCATGTTTTCCACTAAAATGCTTGGTTCCTTAACTCAAACCTCTATGATTCCAAAGCTCCTTAAATGGAATTTTGTTGCTGGTCCCTTGAAATTCAACTGTATTATATACAGTGAGACCCCCACATGCAGACACCTTGACCTGCAGACAATTTGACATAGGTACACTTCTTTTCTAATAAAAAAATAATAAAATAGGCCCAACATGAGGACACTGACAGACTGACTCAACATAGGGACATTTTTTTTATAAAATTGCAAATACATTTCTGGCCAAATTATAAGAAGCAGATATTTCCAACCCTAAAATTGATGTAAAAAAGTTCTTGGGTATTTCTCTCACAATTTACCATCCATTTAGCTGATTTAAAAAAATTACCTCCAGCGTAGAGCAACTTCCTTCTCTCTTTTTCACTTGAATGTTATTTTTACAGAGAATGCTAACATTTCTATGTACTGTACAGAGGTATC